TGCAAAAACCTAAAGCTGAACTGCCACCAAACTGGAATTTTATTATACGTGTGCTGTATAAAACAGTACTTATTTGATTGCTTGAAAAAAATGATTGCTGCTTAGATAAGGAAGTAATAGCAACTGTTTAATAATGCAACACAGCAGAACCGCTTTCCTGGGAGAGAGGATGGAATTTAGCAGGCAGCAGGAGTCACCCTGTGAAAAGGGTCGCCGCCTGTATCTCGTTTGCTATGGCGCTGGGATTAGCAGTGCTTTCCTAAAGGAAACCAAGCTGTCTATAAGTAAACATTAGCGGAACCGTGGTGAGAAATGCCCAGAAATAGGAGGCTGTGGTGGATCCCTTCTCACCCCCCAGCTTTGAGCGTGTGCTTCCATGTAAGTCGTGGCCAAGGCGAGATCCTCCCTTAGCTGCAAGGGGGAGGAAGCCTAGATGATCTCTAAAGGTCCCTTCCAACCTTAACGATTCTGTGAAGCCTCGAGTGTGATTTCTAGGAATGTTTCTGTCCACAGGGCGTCTGCCTCGGCATGGGTGACCCGAGCCCTCCAAGAGCTCGTGGTCTGGGTCTCTGCGGGGCTTTAGTGCCTCCTGGCACTGAACACCCTCTGGTTGTGTGTCCGGCAGCTTGGGTCCCACATCTGTGCATCCTGCACACGGGATATGGAGAGGAATGTTCCTGCCGGCGCGAGGGACGATGCACGGCCATGCGTTCCTGCACACATCGAGGCCATGGCCTGTGTGACAGGGCCCTGGGCTGCCTGGGGAATCACCCACCCTCCTCCTCCTCCGATGAGCTCCCGAGGAGCCGGGGAGCTGGTTTAGCACTTGGGAAAAACACCTCCACGTTTTAGCCCCGGACACTGCCCATTGGAGCCGTCAGGAACCCTTGTGCGTCTCCCCATCCGGCTCCGTTCAACAGGAACGTCTCTCCTTGCCCACCCCGTGCTTTAATTAGCTCAAATCCGTGTCCGGTTGTGGTAGGGGCAGCAAGCAAGCAGCCCTGGCTCCAGGAGGGCACTTGGACGGGCGCACGGTTAATCCTGCAGCATTCCCGGAGCCGGGGTGTTTCTGGAGCAGCTGCTGCTCCCAGTGCCACCTCACGTGTTGGCGGGAGGCCGCTGTGACCCGTTTGCTTTGACATCGCTGCACCATTTGTGGCAATTTCTGCACTAAAAGCTGGGGGTTGCCACGTGTGCCCACAGGGCTGCTGCTTTGGGGGCTGCAGGAGTCGGGATCCCCTTTTTTGTCCAAGCACCGTCCTGATTTCCCCCGGTTTGGCCTCGTTTGACGCTGCAGCGCGGCCCGGGGCCTTGCAAGGAGCTCGCGGGGAGGCGGCAGCTCCACAGGGAAGGACAAGGGGGTCCCTGGGACCCGGGCAGAGAGGGGAATTTCTGTCCTGGTCGGGGCTGCAGGAGGACTCAGGGCCCGG